TTTAAAACACAGAGTATCGTTAAAAAATAGGTAGATAATATCATTGAAATATTAATATTGTATTAAACAGAATGTATCTATCAAAAATAGTTTTGAAACTTTAAATCTCTATTTGGTTACTAAATTAGGTACTTAATTGTTAACGTTTTCTCCTAATCGGTGAACACGTGGTGGGTATGTAGTAGTATTGCTATACTTGCTAGTATACTAGAATTTAGGTAGGTACTCATATTACATTATATTTTCATTCTGTAAGTAGTACCCACTGAGACTGAGTATCTATAAGTACCTACATATGAATTTCATAAAACGCATTTAAAATGTAAATATGCGTATAGGTCTGTAGTAGAAAAATTAAAAATAATACATATTACCCATAGACAACAGACGAACGTCGACGGTTATTGAACTATACATAAGGACATTAAAAATAATTTTAATATCGTTTATATGGGCAATGCTGGAAGAAGAAAAGGTGAAATACAGGCATAATTTTCGTCTACTCCATGCATGGCTCAATATAATCTCATCCGTTTATTCGTGTACACGATATCACGCTTCACAAGGCACAAATATAGCACAAATACATACATAGGTACATACGTCATACATACACATAAGTACATGACACATCCGTGATACGTGGAATACACGTTCATGTTGTGTGTGTGTGTGTGTCTTACCTACATGCAGGGATGAGAAAAAAAACGTGTTTTCGAGTGTGCCGCCAAAGTTGTCAAATTACCGAAGTTTATTGCACACGCCCTCCCATGGGATGACTATCTGTATATGTATATGCAATATGTATGAGACATCGAACCRTCGTCGTGGGGTAGTTRTGGCAGTGCGGTGCAGCAAGACTTTATTTTTCGCTTACACGAGCGTTTCCGGTGTTGGCGTTTATTTTCCGCGGCCGTACAAATATCGGCGGACGTGTACCTATTCGAGATTGGGCTATTATTTCTTGCGATCATTGCCAGTGCCTAGTTGGCAGTTGCCGCTACATTTCAGTTGGCCCCTGTTAAGTCATTTTAACTGCTAGGTATACGTATACAATTACCTACTATAAATATTATTTAAAAACCAAAAGAAATTCATAACCACCTATCATAAACGTACAAGGTATAATTATTGAAYATATAAAATATCCGATTAATAGATAATATATCGATTTAAGTGATTTAACTTACTTATTTGCTAGGTATGTACATTTAGTAGGTATAAATTGCGCATTATTATCATCATTATGTTTGTTAAATATAATAATAATTCCATATACACCACAAATATTAAGACATTTAAAAGGTAAGTAGGTATTAGGTATGATATTTATTTGTTCATAATTTACACGGGCTTAGATCGTGTATACGAGGATACAATCTAAGTCGCAACAAATTCACATAGGTAATTGAAATTAAATTTTTCYAATAAASCTTAACAGTAAGAAATAAGTTAAATAACAAAACTGTAARCATATAAATCATTGAAACGAAATTAATTTAAACACTAATACATACCCATAAAATCAATTTTCATAAATCCGTTAACTTRCAAATATAAATATTAATATTAGCATATAACTAAATATTATGCCTAATTTAAGAACATCAACATAATATTAATGTCGGTATAAATTATTTTGCACACGCTCATTATAATTATACATACATATACGTCTTTTGAATATRCTCGTATAGTAATTGATATACTTACTTGCTAGGTACTAAGCTATTGTATGACTTGTAAGAAATTTAGAATTGTTGACACTAAAGAAAAAATATATTTCTGTATACGATTTATAATGTTATTATCAACATCGTCGT